GTTATGCAGATGCAGGATATTTGTCTGATCCACACAAAGGTCGATCTCAGACAGGCTATTTATTTGCAAGTGGAGGTACAACCATATCATGGCGTTCGACAAAACAAACTATGGTTGCTACTTCTTCAAATCATGCAGAGATAATAGCCATTCACGAAGCAATTCAAGAATGCGTTTGGTTGAGATCTATAACTCAACATATTCAGCAAACACGTGATCTTTCTTCGAAAGAGAATATTCCAACAATATTGTATGAAGACAATGTTGCATGCATAGCTCAATTGAAAGGAAGATGTATCAAAGGAAATAGAACAAAACACATTTCACCGAAATTCTTTTTCACTCATGATCTTCAAAAGAATGATGAAATAGATGTACAACAAGTTCGTTCAAGTGATAATTTGGCTGATCTGTTCACTAAGGCATTACCAACCTCAATATTTGAAAAAATGATATATAAGATTGGAATGCGTCGTCTTCGAGACATTAAGTGATTTTTCATCAGGGGGAGTAACTACACGCTGCACTCTTTTCCTTAATCAAGGTTTTGTCTCATTGAGTTTTCCTGGGAAGGTTTTTAATGAGGCAGCAAACAATGCATATTATAAATACTATGTACATCCCAATATTTTTTTTGTAAGTTCTTAATGAGGCACATTATCTTACATAGACATCCAAGGGGAAGTGTTATGAATAGTTTGTACATTGGATGCTATATTGGATGCTCATGTTGTGAATAACTTAAAGATTAAATCTCCTACTTTATGTCCATCATCTTTACTTTTTATGCCTAGGCCATGTACTTTCAATGGAAAGATACACCAGAGTGAAAGAAGAAAACACTTCTCCCTTCTTTCTATCTCTTCTTATTTACATTTTACTGCATTGCTTTTATTTTATAACAAAATCTAGCTTAGATCCATCTTTTAGTTTTTGCCATTTGCACAGTTCCAATCCTATAATAATATGGTTAAAACCTTACAGTTTCTTTCTTATTTTTATTTTTTATTTAATGGTTTATAGATAAACGAGGGGAATGTAGCCTTTCGGCTATGGATTCAAGAAACCCATAACTTTCTACATGGAATATAGATTTATATATAAAAACCTATAAAAATCTCAATAAATATTAGATTTGAACCCATAATTTAACAGTACAATGAGTTCAGTGTTAAAATTTTTAGAAGCTGAATTCATTAAATTTAAATTTTAAAACAAAAATTAAAGGGCCAAATATACTCCTGTACTATGAGAAAATGTTATACTTTGACTCCAAATATATCTCTACCGTAATACTATTGGTTCAAATATATCCCTCCTATTAAGTTTGTTTAAGGTGGACATCTAATCCTACGTCGCATTGACATTTGATGATGTGGATATCACGTGACATGCCACCTCAGCTCCCCTAACCCATTTTACCCCTCTCTTCTATTTTTTCTTTCACCACTAAAATTTCCTTTTCATCCACAATCATTGTTACCATTGCCGCCACCATGAACAATATTTTATTTCAAAGTTAGTCTTTAATATATATTTATTTCTCCACTCATCGCTTGCTTTGGATTCAATAAAAATCTGAAGCTTTTCGAATTTCGGGTGAAGTTCTCTTCCTCGAGAAACTAAATAATCTCTTTATGTACTACTAGTGTGCGTGATATTGGAGGTGCTCAAAGCATTTGTAGAGCACGGTGCTCAAAGCATTTGGAAATGGACAACATTCAGTCTCATACTGTTCAGATACTCCGATTTGGTCTGAGTAACTAGCTGAAAATTTAATATTGTTCATGGTGGCGGTTACGGTGGCAATGATGGTGGAGGAAAAGAAATTTTTAGTGGTAAAAAAAATAAATAAATGAGAGGGGTAAAATGTTAGAGGCGCTTAGGTAGCATAACACGCGATATCCACCTCATCAAATGTTAGCATCACGTAGGATTATTGGGTATCCACCTTGGACAAACTTAACGGAAGAGATATATTTAAATTAATAGTATTGTGACTGAAATATATTTGAACCCGAAATATAAGGATGAGTATATTTAATCCTTTTCTTATAGTACATAAATATATTTGACCCTCTTCTTCTGAATATTTTAAATCCGCGTGTGAAGACAGAGTTTAGGTATCAGCGAGTCAATATATAGGCAGGGACCATTTTGTGCTCACTTACCATTCACTTGTAAGTGCATATGATGTGGACAATGAATATTCATTTTTGTTTTCACATTTCTTCTTGAAACTATAGGAAATCGGAAGGAAAAAGCTATCAAAATGTTGACTCAAACAGTCAGTGTGGTTGCTTGACTTTTTATTACTCCCATCTCTTTTTATTCAAATTTACATAGACTTTGAAGTCAGGGTCAAAAATGGACTAAGGTTGTCATTTCCACACGTTTGCCTTATTATTTAAATTTACTTTTTCATGCAGATAGTATAAAACCTTTTTCTTTTATTATAATTATAATAATTTAATTGGTTATAGTAAGTTGTCACTTTATTATCCAGATTACCAAATAGAATTGATGGTATAAAAAATTTATACACTACACATGCATTAAACTTAAACTTTTTCATGTTTACTTTCTGTTTATAATGTAACAAATTTATACACTATAAAGTATGTTTCTGAAACCCATACTTTGTTATTTCCATTTTGATCATATCCCGGTTAATTATTGATGAATCAAAACATCACAGTACTTGAAATATGTGTATCGTTAATAGTAATGTCTGATGTCTTCACGTCTCATATAATTATTTTTGTATTTTTATTTAGAAGCAAATTCAAATTTCTAATTTGATAGATTCGATCAAGAGTTCATATCACTAGATACTCACTACAATTTTCAAATTATGACATCAGAATCTATTATTTATTAAAGTTTTAGTGATTTTCTTATATATTTTTCTGCTTTATATCGAAAACGCCGGATTCTTGTGAACACAATAATTATTTTCTCCATTCACCACTGTCGTTACTAGTATAAAATAATTGTCTACTCAATTATGTATTATCTTTATATCGGGAGATCTCTTAAGGCTTATAACTCATACAGTCAATATAATTGTCGGTTATTTGCTTTAGTAATATATTATCATATTTCATTGAAGTAAAGGTTTAATTAGTTAGACGATAATTTCCCGTAAAAAACACGCTTTGATACATTTGATAAAGATGCTTGTGTCCCTTCGTGGATATTCGGCAAAATTGAAACGAGACAAATAGGCCTGCAATAATTACAATTAAACAAACAACCAACTTGCTCAAATTGTAACAACATGACATATACAATGAGAAGCAAAATAAGTAAACAAGAATAATATTTTTTGGGTAGCGGAGAAAGGACTCCGGAGGAGGTGCGGGTGGTGGTGGTGGTCCATAGTACTGAGGAAGCATGGCGGCTTTGGGGCGGCCTCGTGACCAGGGGCGGATTAGAGGAGCGGAAGGGGCCGAATCCCCTTCGCCGAAAAATTATATTGTATATACAAGGGAAACTACTCTTTTTTCCTTGCGCACACACATTAAAACATAACTAAACATAACAACTCCTAACTCAATATACTAACATGGTAAAATTTACCAATATATTCTAACTACTTATAATCTACTTCAAGTTACAAATCTCTATTAATATGCAGTTTCTTGTAATTGTCTTTTAAGTAATTTGATAATGTTTTATGTCTTTGACATGTGTATTTAGGGTTTTTAACTTGTGCAGGAACGTTAAAGACGTGTTAACTGAGTTTTTAAAGAAAAACATTTTAATTCCAAACGACTCGAACAAGTGCAAATGCATGATTTCTTTTGAAGCCTTCTTTCAGGCGAAAGGGAGGTGAAGGAAAAAACTTACTCAAACCCGATGTTTACACCCAAAATTATTAATTTACTATTAGTTTTAGTAATGTAAACAATAGGTATGATAAATTTTTAACAAATGTGTTGTTCGATGAATTGGCATAAGAGAGTTTCAATGTGATGATAAAGATATAACAGTTATGCCTCTCAAATCTATTCGTACCTTTTGTGCTCAATACAAAACATTATTAAAGGCTTATAGCAATGGGTTTGACACCCAGTTAACAACCCTTGAAGAAATAGCCACTTGGAAGCCTCAAATGTTACAGATAGAGCCACATTCTCAAGGGTGAAATTCAAAAATAGCCAGATTTACAACTGGTCGTTCAAAAATAGCCAGTTTCAAAAGTAATTGAAATTTAGCCACTTTTCATGTAAAGATAAATCTGAGTGAAAACATTGTTCAAAACCCGGAAAATACGCCAGTATATTATGCTGGAGTTCCAGCATAAGTATACTTGAACTCCAACATATTATACTGGAGTTCCACGATAAGTATGCTGGAACTCCAACATAATATGATGGAGTTCCATCGTAAGTACACTAGAACTCCAGCATAATATACTAGAGTTTGGAGCACCGGTGCTCCAGTCTCAAGTATATTATACTGGAGCCAGCAAAGTATAACGGTCTTCATACACAGGTGCACCGAACTCCAATATATTTTACTGGATCGGTCTCTGCTGCAGCAAAATAGTGGCTTTTTTTTATTGATTTGGTAAACGCTGGCTATTTTTGAATGATCAGTCCGAAAACTGGCTATACCATGCTATTTTTACCACTCTCAAGCTTATTCAATTGGGCTGCATAAAGCCCAATTATAACTGATATCCAGCCCAATATGCGGATTCCCTTGCATGGTCGAAAAAGGGAGACTGCGAGGTCGCATTTATCAATTGTCTCTTAAAGGTGGCATTTAAAACTTGGGACTTATAAGTCGCATTAAGAAAATGCTATTTATAAGTCGCATTAAGAAAATGCTATTTATAAATCGCATTTACAGAATGCGGTTTATAGTCGCAGTTAACAAAGAAACTAAGAAACAACAGAATTCAAAGAGAACATATTCGACTTAGAAACCTTTGAAAAGAATACTAACATAATCTAATTATGTCAGAGCAACACATATTCACAATGCAAAAGAATCGTTGAAATGTGTGTGTATCGTTAATAGTAACGTATGATGTCTTCAAGTCTCGTATAATTATTTGGTCTCATACAATTAACAAACTACCAACTTGCTCAAATTTTAACAACATGACATATACAATGAGAAGCAAAAAAAGTACACAAGAATGCTATTTTTCTGGTGGCGGAGAAAGGACTCCGGGAGGAGGTGCTGGTGGTGGTGGTCCATAGTAGTGAGGAAGCGTGGCGGCCTCGCGATCTACCAAAAAGGTAACAAGCAAGGGCCGTGATGAGGAAGAACAGGATCAATGGCAGTGATATCACAATCACGTAACCCATTGATTCAAGTTTTTCTTCAACCTAAAATGCTCTCTTTTCCTGCCAAAATAATTCCGCAAACATATTAAAATATAACTAAATATATAACTACTCCTAAACTCACGTTATACACTAACAGGCGTAACAACATAAACTTTTACCAATATATTCTAATAACTAACAATCTACTTCAAGTTACCAATCTATATGGTAAAAATTTATGCAGAATGTCACATGTCCAATGGGGTCAAAAGTAAAAAATTTGCTAATGTTAAACTTAGAAGTTTTGCCCAATATTCCTGCCCCAAAAGTCAAAACCTTCAAGGTTATTTGTGTATATTTTTGACATAAAAAGTGGCTAGTCCGCACTACCTAAAGCCCAACTATAACTGATGTCCAGCTAGCCCAACAGATGGATTCCCTCGCATGGTCGGGACCTAGAGCTTGTACTTGACGAATATGCAAGCAAGCATATGTTTCATGTTTGTTTGAGTAATAGCAATAAGATTTTCTAATATCATGATAAGAATAGCTAGGATTTCCCGAAGAAGACACCATTCATTTGATGAGAAATAAAAAGGAATATCGAAAATTCGAGTGGCTAAAACTGAAGCAGCAACTTTCAAAGTAACAGAAAGAAAAAAGTGGATAGCTCACTTTCCCTCATTCAAAATTGTGCATGAGACTTTCATTTCAAATGGCTCCTAAATGAAAAAATAGGTATATATTTTTACAGAAAACAAAGACACATATATAAATGTTTGTGATGAAAAAGACGACACATATAAAAAGAACAGAAGTCACTAGATTTTTCTAAATCCTAAATTCGCTACTATTCAAGAGCAAAATCAAGGTATAATTATGGGTAGATCTAAAGCTCAACGCAGCTTGAACCATTAATTTACATGTGAACAGAATACAACAATATACTCGGTGTATTTTTACAAGTGTACACAGATCTTACTCATATTTTACGAAGGTAAAGAGATTAATCTCCCAAAAAAAACATATTTTTAACAGGTTTGAAAAAACATAAATGAAGAAGCCATGTTGAGTGAACAGAATGTAATAAAATATTTAGGACCCATTTAACCATAGATTTTGCCAAAATATATTTGTTTTTTTTTTTGGGAAATACATATTTGTTCATAAATTTTATTCATATTTTGGCAAATTCCCAAAACTCAAAACCCAAATCCCAAAACCAGCTCAAGAGTTGATTTTGGCCCAAAATATTGCTATTACATTTTTTTTTAAATTGCCCCAAACTTTTGCATTTTATAAAAGACCCCACCATTTATTATTGTTGAAAAAATGTTGTTTCGTCTTTTTGGTCATCTGATAGTGTATTATGTAGTTCATTATAAAAATGATAATTTTGTACTAAATTTATTTATGTTCAGGACTATGGTTTGCGATAACATAATGAATGTTATTAATGAATTTACTGTTGGGTATGTGTGATAGTGTTTAGAACTTGTGGATATAAGTCACGTTTCATGTTGTCCAAAAAAAAGTGAAATATATTTTGAAAACTAATGTCCAAACACTTTTTCATCTTCAAACCAAACTTCACCCAAATCAGATTTTTCAAAACAAATTTGAAAATCTATAACCAAACGCTAGCTTAAACCCTCTGTTTTAAAAGGCAGAATTGGGACTCGCCCCGAGGTGGAGCACTCATAAAACGCCCCTGGGCTTATGTGTGGAGCTTAGTTCCGTGAAACTTACGCCTCGGTCATCGGGGCTTACTCCCCGTACACGCCCAACGCCCAGCGTACTGAGCTCGCCTAATAGAACTTTATGCAATTGTATGTAACTAACCTTGTAATCCTCAAATTTTCTTAATAAATCGTTGACTATTCAAAATTATTTTTTTCTTAATCATAAATCATTAAGTTGAGAGTATTTTATGTCATAATTAAAATAAAAATTATTGCACATTATCCACTAAGACTGCTATGATAGTTAATTTTAAATAAATCTTTCAGTTAAAAAGTATTTATTTATTATCTTTTGTTATGTCTTTACTATATAATAGTCTATAATTTTTTTATAATTATCTTTTAAAATATTTATTTTTCACGTTTACAAGATACAATACTTATTAATTTAATAGCTCAGTATTAGCTAGTAACTATTTACAGTAATTAGTTATCATGGTATTGTATGGTGAATTATGTGTCACTTTATTAACTTGTTGAAACTTAAAAATAAATGATGCTAGAGAATCATATTGAAATTGTGAAATATATTTTTATATAAATTCTCTTTCAAATAGAAAGCATATTAAATAAAAGGAGTATTTTAAGAAAAATATCAAATTATAATATCAAAATTCTTACAAGATTCATTACTCCTTAAGAGATACATATAAAAATTCGTATCGAATACATTACTTTTGATGTTTGAGTTGTAATGACGTTGTAACTAATTTGCATATTATGATATATGTCATACTTTTCGTATTATTCATAGTTGAATTATACTTTATAAATATTTTAAATATACCATTTGTTATAATTTTGTGATTTTAATGAAATCTTTATAATTATTTTTTATTTTATACTATTTTAAAATTCTTGAAATTATAAATTTTAAAGATCCATGGGACTTATGCCCCATGTCTCAGGGCTTACGGCTTGCCTCATTAGAGGTAAAACGCCTCGTCTCATGTCCCGCCTTTTAAAACATTGCTTAAACTATAGCCACCTAACTTCACGGACTCTTTAATTATGGTTTTGAAGCAATGATTCCCTAATTTGATATAAGCCAAATGAAGGTTGATTCAAATTAAACTAACAAAAACGACAGAAATTCAACCACGCTGCGGACAAAAGGAAATTAAAGTAAAGAGAAACGTACCTCGTTTTGTCAAGAAATCAAACTGATCAATCACCTAGTACTGAAACAAAAAACTGAACAGTTTCTGACTTCCCTTTTAGGTTTTTGCTGTGTTAGGGAGTTTATGTAGAAAGATTCGAGGATGATAAGGTTGATGAGGTGTTTCAATATGAAGGCTTTCAATACGAGTATATGACAGCTTTTATTTTGTCCTTTTTTATTCTTTCCTTATATTCTGTTGTTTTTATACATGATCATTTTGTTTCTTCTTTCCTTTACTTGACGTGAGATAGTCTAGGCTACTCTCTAAGCATTTCGGTTTTGGGTTTGCGTATTAGTCCAATCCACAATCGCATGTAAAAAGATACTATTGATAATTTAAATATAAATTTTATACAATGATTTATATATTATATAATTATTTTTTAACTTTCATATAATATTTAAATAAAATATATATATAACTACAGCATAGTATATTTTACATACAATTATACAGTAACTTTATTACAATTTCGTAGATATATTGTATGTCATGTGTTCTTCTTCTTCGAGTTTCAATCTGAAATTCAGCCCAAAACAAGTCTAATCTTCACCAAACACCCTTAAAATTGGGATATAAACTCCAAATAATATTCCTAATTGTTTGCAACCCAATCCAAACAAATAATGGTTTTTGAAAATCCAAATTCAAATTCAAAGCTTTATGATAGATCAACGTTCGAATTTTCAATTCCTATATCCTTCTTACTAGGTGCTGAATTTATATCTTGAAAAGGACTATCAAATTGCAGGATAATCCGATTTTCAAGAGAGCACAATACAAACCGAAGTGTCACAAGTTTGAATTCAATAACATTCTTGCACTGTTAAAGTTCCATACTTAGTGGGTAGCAATGTAAAAGAGAAAAAGGCAAACCAGTGACAAACTGGAAGTTATTTCAATAGGTTGAATGACAGAAGACAACTTTTAGGCTTACCTTATTGATAGAGAAAGACGGTGAGAGAGAGTGATGAAGAAAGAAAGAAAAATTGATGAGAGAGACGGCAGTGAGGAAAGAGGAGAGGAGAAAAAAAGGAAAAGGATGTAACTAAATCCCCTAATTTAAGGCACTAATAATTAATTGTATACAATTTGTAAGTAATCATTATTTAAGGCGGATAATATACAAAATTAGGATAATTTTAATAAATAAGTTTCAAATATTGTATAGGAAGGAAAAAATTCCTTTCTTAAAAGGCTAAATAATTGATCAATTTTTTCTTTAACTTCAGATGACTTAAGTTTTACACGCAAAAAGAAAAATCAAACACCAAGTAAAACTGTAAAAATGCAAAGACTACGTGTATGGGTCAAAATCTGACCAGACAAAAATCGGCGTGAGAAGGGACGGCGAAAAGTTACTTGGAACTGTCGTATCCATACCACGCTGTAACGATACGCACCTCGGCCACGACCGAGGTCATGAATTCAGAATTGTATATTACGACATTTCAAGGGGTCAACCCGTAATATAGTCAAACGATTTAAGTATTATGGTTAATAACTATTGGGTAAAGGAGAAGACCTAGTATATAAACTAAGTGAGAAGAAGAAGAAAGGTGGGGTTTTGAAACAAAGAGAGACAAACACATGTTCTCCGAGAGGAGGGGGATCTTCATCTCTCTCTCTCCCCACAAAGGAGAAACAAGCAAGGAAGCTTAAATCTTCAATATACATAGTTAGTCTCATCACATCAAATGTATAGGGTTCTACCTTGTTAAAGATTGGTGACCCTTTTTCATCCATGTATTCTTCATTATTATTTAATGTTATGAAAATCGCCATCATCTTCTTATACAATAGGATTTACTCAATATTACACTTAAATCTTATGTTTGCTTTATTTGCTTACTCATATCTTCTATCTTAAATTTAGGGTAAATTACCTTGGCCGGGATTTACCCAAAACTTTTTTATTTAATTAGTTCAACCAAAAGTTAAATGCTTTCGGTCGAACACTACGTAGTCAAATACTTTCTGGATTTCAACTTATGTGTCTTATTTTTCTTTAGTTTAGTTTAAAAAGAATGTCTTTTTATATATTTAGTTACACTTTAACTCTAATATTCCACGTGATATATTTAAGATCACAAAATTTAATTTAAAGATATTTTAGTACATTATACATATTTTTACTTTAAGACCACAAAATTTAAAAAGCTTTTTATTTTTTTTTCTTAAACTCTATTCTCAGTCAAATTAAGAGTCCGTTTGGACATAAGAATTTTTCACTTTTCTCAAAATTAGCGTTTGGTCATAAAATTTCCAATTTTCACTTGAAGATGAATTTTGGAATTTTTTGAAATTTTGAAAAATTCCAAAAAGCTCTTTTTTCAAAATTTTCACTCAGATGACTCACAAATCTTCAAAAACAACCCAAAATTATATTTATATCCAAATACAACTCTAATTTTCAAATACCATTTTCACGTGGAAAAAAAATCACTTTTTTTTTTGAATTTTACAATTCTTATGTCCAAACGCCCAATAAAATACATAAACAGAAAGGAAGATAGTGTTTTATTTTTAGTACAACATTTTTTCATAGGTCACCTTTTCAACATTTTTTCATATCAATCAAATCTTCTATAAGCAACTGCAAGGATATTCCGATAAATGAGAACTGCCCCAGTCGCTTAGCTTAAATGCTTACTTAAGCATATGGAATACAGATTTGAAATTATCCTTACTACCTCATACTCCCTCCGTTTTAATAATATGAACTTATTTTCTTTTTAAACCGTACAAAAAAAAATGACTTCCTTTCATATTTAGATAATTTACCTTTATACAATAATTTATAATCACACAAAATATATTTGCTTCATTTTATATTATAAGTTGAAAAAATTTCTCTTTTTTCTTAAACTTTGTATCCAGTCAAATAGAGTCAATTACTCAAATGGTCATTCAACTATCTCAAATATCTCCTAAAGTTACTTTACTTTCGTTTATAACGACAAAATCACTGAACTATGCCTATTGCACTAAGAAGGTCACTCAACTAGATTTTTCAAATTTTGGATTGCGAAATACCTATTTTACCCTCTAAATTATAAATATTTATCTTCTTTTATTTTTTTAAAACTTTTTAATATTATGATTTTCCCTTTTTAATTTATATTATGGACTTACCTATAGAATAAATAAATATTATTTATAAATTAAAAAAAGTATTTAAGCATCTATAATGTTGGAATAACAAAATAATGAGCATAATAAAAGAATTAATTAAAATAATTTATTCGTAATAATAATTTTAGTATTAACAACAAAAATTCAAAAATTTATTTACGCAATTCAGAATGAGAGAAAATAAAGGTTGTAAAATATATATTCCGTGCACGTAATATAAAAATAATTATTTAGATAAAAGTATTTTTATAATATACACTATATATTCTTGAAAATTATGCTCAATTATATTATATATATTCCATGCACGACTTAACATAGCATATTTTACCCTATACGGATAGCCCCCTGCTTTCCGATGATATAACTTTATGTCGTCGAAAAGTTGGTAGAAACACAATAATATAATTGGGCATAATTTTCAAGAATATAGAATGTATATTATAAAGATACCTTTATTTAAATAATTATTTTTATATTAAGTACGTGGAATATATATTTTACAACCTTTATTTTCTTTCACTTGAATTGTGTAAATAAATTTTGAATTTTTGTTGTTAATATTAAAATTATTATTACAAACAAATTATTCTAATTGTTTTACTATACTCATTATATTATTATTCCAGCATTATATATGCTTAAATACTTTCTATTTTTTAATTTATAAATAATATTTATTTATTCTATAGGTAAGTCCATAATATAAATTAAAAAGGAAAATTATAATATTAAAAAGTTTAAAAAAATAAAAAGAAGATAAATATTTATAATTTAGAGGGTAAAATAGGTATTGACAATCCAAAATTTGAAAAATTTAGTTGAGTGACCTTCTGAGTTCACCAGGCATAGTTCAGTAACTTTATTGTTACAAACGAAAATAAAGTGACTTTAGGAGATAATTTGAGATAGTTGGATGACCATTTGAGTAATGAACTCCAATCAAATATGTTCAGATAAATTGAAACGGAGATTGCTATTTAGCATAGGCTTGCCCTTGGGTCATGTGATGAAATACCGCACATAAACTTTTAGCTCTTATAATACAAAGTACCGCAAAATCCTCGAGTAAATTAATTTAATACACCTTATGTTCAAAGAAAGTACATTATGTGCATTACACAAGACACCACAATAATATACTAATAAAGTAGTTTCATTCTTATAAATACACTACCAAGAAACAGGCTACAACCACATAGAAACCTCTAGATTCATTTATCCTCTCTATATCTGTATTCTGTCTTTTAGGAGGAGAAGAGGGGCGACTGCTGAGCAGTGGTGGTATGTAGGATTTTTACCAAGCAGATTCAGAAAATTAAGAGAATTAATAGCTAACTACATTTACATTTTTTTTAATCTTATATATATACATAATGTAATTTTTCGACGATCACGACCCTCTTCCGCCAGACTGGCTCCATTCACCAGCGACCCCGAGATCTTCCAAACAGGAAACAAGCAATAGCTACGATCAATACCAATATAACCAAAGGCAACGATATCACTATAACATGCATCTTCTTCTCTGTTATTGCAATTTCTGCTTCTCTCTCTTTACAAGTAGTGGTGCGATTCCTCTACTCCTGCATTGACACGAAAACATAATTTTTCAAGAAACAAGTGCTATTAATTAGTATTATTGTTTTTTTTATTGAAGATGGGAGCAGTCCGGTGTACTAAGCTCCCGCTATGATGGGTCCGGAGAAGGGCTAGACCACAAAGGTCTATTGTATGCGGCATTTTCCTCCATTTCTGGAGGAGACTATTTTCACGGCTCGAACCCATGACCTCCTTGTCACACTTTACCAATTATATCAAAGCATCCCTTCCTATTGAAGATAGGAACACTGTTAATTGAGAGAGATCTTCTAATTAGTACCATTTTGAACAAATCTAATTTATGTGACACCATTAGGATTTTGAACTGAGTCACTTAAAGTTTTTCTTTGATCATAAATTTTAATGTCTTTTAAATATTTTAAATTATTAATTATTGTGACTTGTAGTAGTAAGTAGTTTTTAAATATGTATATTTTATTTCAAAAAACTGAAAAAATTGTCTGAATCCATATATAAAATACTAATAAGTTTGACCTTGAAATCCAGATGGTACCACATAACTTGGGAAAAAGGAAGTACTAAAATCATTAACATGTTTACTTTACACAGTTCATGTGCTTACGGACAATTACTCTATTTCTCTCCATATCTCTTAATCACATAAGAAAAAAACATTAAGTCAAGACTAGCCCTAGACAAGACACTTGTAATTATTTTCTCTGTTTCAATTTAGGTGAAACTCTTTAGTAAACCACATCCAATTTGTCCGAGAGATGTTTTAGTAAAAGAAAAGAAGATAGAGGAGGTTTTCCATAGACAAAGAAGAAATGAATACATACCTTGTCTAGCAAAACTACAAAGCCAAAACTCACATAAACAGAGAGGAGGGAGAGTTTGAGAAACTTAAGGGAGAGGCAAAGGCTGAAACTTTGCAGAAATAAATGAGCAGTGGAAAGTGATATACTATGTATTAGCAGAAAAGAGGAATAAAAAGACAACCAAAAGTGACATGCAGACAAACCACACACACACGATGCAAGCAACTTTCTACGTGTAGGCTTTCAGACGAGGTTTCTTCCTTGTCACCACAATCCCCAAAACTAATGCATAACTTGTAGAGCTGAAACACGAACTTTAGATTTTTTCATTTGAACACTTTTACTTGAAAAAATATCTAATAATAAATATTTTTGACCGTTAATTATGCGTAGGTGGTAATATTATAGCTGATATAATCAATTGCGCGTTAATCACCGGTATTAAGCGCGTGAATATGATAAATAATTAAAAAAAAAAGATAAATAATTAATTTTAAAAAATAAAAAAATTCATCGGGTCAAATTTAGAGAAAAGCTATTTCAATTCATCGAGTCTGACTATTCTTCAATTTTTAACCATTCAATCTTGCAATTCCAAGCCATAGAAATTGTTCTCCACACCAAGAACTACCTCTCCACTAAAAATCAGGAGATTTCACTGTAGGAAACGGCACTTCTGATGACCTCTAACTCTCCGGCGGGATCCAGTTGGTCGGAGATGGTGTTCCAGTGGTCCAAATCGCCCAAGAGTAATGCCAATCGATTCCTGCCGCTGAGGAGGTCACACCAATTGACCACTACAACGAATTAATTATCACAACTTTAAAGAAAATCAATTCTGCGACAGTACTGATCGAAAAATTTCTCTGACAATCTACCTAACTAGCAAAAAATAAGAAAAATTTGGAGAGAGAGGAGAGGACGAAGAAGAACCTAGGAAGGGAGTGTTGATATGGAAGTAGACGAATGAGTTGCAGATGTGTAGGGGAGGGATGATGGGAAGGAACGGGGAAGAGGAAGCTGGAAGGGTTTAAGTTTTTTCATTCTTATTGTATTTATTTTTATTTAAAAATTACACATGTCATTAGTTGGGTGGGGTCTTACTTTTGCATTGATCATTTGCTAACTGGATGGACACGTCTGTGTATGTGTAATACACGTGCATAGGCTCAAGGGTCAAATATGTTTATGTCACGACCCTGGTTCGCCCTCCATGAACCATCGTTACGGCACCTAGTCTCTACGACTAGGTAAGCCTAATTTGCGGAAGAAAAACCAAATTTGCGGAAATAAATAATTTAAAACAGAAATAAAGCAGTAACAGTGTTTAAATGTGCCGCTCGGCATACACCATGTTTAACTCTTAATACCAAAACATAAATCCAAGACCCGAAAACCTACAAATCACAAGCTAAGAAAAAGGAAATACTGTATAGCTCTAACTCCGGAATTTGTCTAATAAAAACAGAAAGCACAGAAGGGCTAAATACTAAAAGGCAGGAATAGAAAGGAACTCCTCGGTCTGCGGACGCGGCAGATGTACCTCGAAGTCTTTAAGTAGTCGCCTCCCTCAAGGATGGTAGGCTTGAGTAGAAGTACCTGGATCTACACATAAAAAATATGCGCAGAAGAGGCATGAGTACACCACAGCGGTACTCAATAAGTGTCAAGCCTAACCTCGGTTGGGTAGTGACGAGGAATGCCAGGGCCCTACTGAGGTTAAACAAATATAAAGATCAACAGTATAGGACCGAACAATATAAATAAGTGCAGCAGTAAAATAACACAGGATATACAGAACAACAACAATTATACAGAACACGGCAAACATGGAAAAGAAATGCAGCTCAGCAACAATGGTAACAATCGGGGATCTCCCAGGATACCGTCCTGTAGTCCCATCTTTACATATCTAGTGAATCTCCCGGGATACCATCCCGTAGTCCATCATATATATGTCCGAAGGATCTCCCGGGATCCCGTCCCGTAGTCCAACTCATAGTGGGCGGGGATCTACCGGAATCCCGTTCCGTAGTCCCAAATATAAATACTCAGTACTGGGGGAATTTACCGGGTGCATTCCCGTAGTTTCATATAACTGTGCAGGGGGATCTACCAAAAATCTAACACGTAGTTCCAAAGTAAACATACAAGGGGGAGCTACCGGAATCCCACATCCGTAGTCCCAAAATAAATACACAGCAACAGCAGCAGGAAGATAAACAGAAATAGCAAAATTCATATTAAGGCAATAAATGATTCTAGCCTAGCATGCTGCACATAATTCAAGTAAGGAAGGTTAAATCAAATGAAACAATTAATTCACTTAGACATGCTTTCCTAAGCTAACAACAGGCTTAATAGTGCAAGTAATAGAAACAGGAAATGAAACATACTAGTAAGTACTTAAAGAAAATCGGATTTCTAACAATTAGCACAAGTACGCACTCACCACCTCACGTACAAGGCATTTCAATTACCAAATATACCAATCCTACGGGGAAAGTCCCCCACACAATGTTAAACAAGCCACTTACCTCGAACCGGCTCAAAATCAACCCAACACCACGTCTTTGCCATGAGTACTCGGCTCCAAATGGTCCAAATCTATTCAATTCAATTGCATGATATAAATAACACTTCAAGTAACTGATTCTACAATTAAATTCTAAGCTAATACGCGAAATTATGTAAAATGACCAAAATGCCCCTCGGTCCCACGTCTCGAAATCGGGTGAAATTTATATTTTCAGAAACCTCGTACTCTCACGAGTCTATACATAACAAGAACACTGAAATCGGAGTCCAAATGGCTCCTCAAATCCTTAATTAAAGGTCTCTTAAACTCAAGCCCTAATTACCCATTTTTTCCCATATTTCTCACCACTAATTAGATCTTTAATCACATAAAAATGAGTTATGAAGTCAAGGACGTTACCTCCAAGTGATTCCCCTTTGTTTACCTCAAAAATCTATCTCAAAAGCTTTAAACCCGGATGAAAATGGTGAAAGAATCCCTCAAATTCGCGAAGGCAACTATTTATATGTTCTGCCCAGCGATTTTCGCATTTGCGGCCCTGGGACCGCATTTGCGGTGCTGCTTCTGCAGACACAACATCGCATTTACGACTTTCATTAAAATGCCAGCTTCTGCATCTGCGGACCTCTAACCGTAGGAGTGGTTCCGCTTCTGCGAGCCCTTCACCGCATCTGCGGTTCATGAGGTATTGACACAAAGCCACTTCTGCGACCCTTTAGTCGCTTCTCCGGCATCGCATCTGCGGTCCCCAAACCGCAGATGCGAAAATACCAGAAGACCAGCTGCTGCAGCAACTTCAACTCCAAAATTTCCTCCGTTAACCATCCGAATTCATCCCGAGGTCCCCGGGACCTCAACCAAAGGCATCAACATTTCCTAAAACCTTATTCAAACTTGTACAAATCTTTAAAACACCTCAAACAACACAAAAACACATCGGATTCAAGCCTAAGTTTCTAAAATCTTTCGAATTCCGCTTTCGATCAAAAATCCAACCAAAACACGTCCGAATGACCTGAAATTTTACACACACATCCCAAATGACACAACGGAACTATTGCAACTCTCGGAATTCTATTTCGGCCCTCGGATCAAAATCTCACCATCGAATCGGAAACTTCCAAAATTCAACTTTCGGCATTTCAAGCCCAAATTAGCTACGGACCTCCAAAACACAATTAGAACACGCTCCTAACCCCGAAATCACCCAACGGAGCTAACAGAACCATCGAATTTCCGTTTCGAGGGCGTCTCCATCTATTCCGACTACGGTCAACTTTCTAATACTTAAACTCTCATTTAGGGACTAAGTGTCCCAAAACTCTCTAAAACTTAAAACCGAACATCCCGGCAATCAAAATAGCGAAAATAGACTCGGGGTAAGCAGTTAATAGAGGATCGGGCATTAATTCTTAAAACGATCGGTCGGGTCGTCACAATTTATTAGTTAAGGGAATCATAAGTTCTAGTGTTCAAATGGGAAAATCCAAAGTTCGTGTATCGGCTTTCAAAAGCCCTACAAATTTAAGTGGTCATGAAGCAATTTCGCCATTTCCTTTCTTTAGCTTTAAATATTTGACGTGCGAAATATATTAACTTGATTAATTAAAGAAAAAGGGCAAATTTACCCTTCTATTTTCATACATTATTCACGTTTAATATCCATTATATTTATTCAGTCATGTTTATTCTTATTGTTATACTATTGGCCAAATTTACCTTTACTGTTAGCAAACTTTAATCACAAACACTACAATGAGACAAATAAAGTCCAAGTCTAAGGGTTATTCTCTTACACAAGATTAGGCAAGATACTTATCTCAAGCGGGTCAAATCAACCATCCAAAATCGCCTTTCCTTTAGTAACCACCTCCGACCGGTTCAAATCTAGCCAAAAATAACCCAATAATGTCAAACGTACAAAGCCGTAGGAAACAACTCAGGACTACCCGGTCAAAACCCGAGTCAAGGGATAGGTCCCGACTACCATAACCTCACATGTCCAAATATAAGATTAGATTCTAAAATTGAGTCTAAATCGACCCCCAAATCCTCAATTTTCACTATATTAAGTTGTAGATAAAAAACCAAAATTTTCGTTTAAAATTTTAAGTTTTAGGCGTAGAAATACATGAGGATTAAAGTTACAAAATCAAATCCAAGTGAAAATTTCTTACCTCCAATGTAGTAGTGAAAGTGCTCCCAAAAATCTCCACCTCTCTAAGTCTAGGGTTCAAAAAATGAGAAAATGGGTAAAATCCCGAAGTTATATCACTTAAAGGTCTACCCAGTGATATACTTCGCAATCGCAACCACTGCCTCGTGTTCCGAAGCATAAAAATACATTTCCTCAAACAACCCTTCGAGACTGTCCCCACCCTGGGAATGCAATAAATAAACTACATTGGCCAACGCGAACGCGAAGGCTAAGCCCTAGTCAATCCCCCAGCTGGCTCATCTCTATGCGAACACGAACCCCTGCCGTAAACACGAAGACCACTCAACCACAACCTATAGGCGATTCGAAATTCGTCGCCCGAATTTATAAAGGTAGTGTAGACATTAGCACACGAAAAATTGAAAATCTTCTTGAATTCTTGTTTTATAG